GGGGGGGGAGAAGGGGGGCACACAACATCAATAAGGATCCCTGAGATCTAACCAGGTGAAGTAAGGACCAATGGAAGACCCAAACTTCACCTGTATGATGACCACCTATGTAACTAATCCTGAAATGTACCCCCACATCTTTGAGAGAGAAAAAAAGTATGTGCTGCGGTCATCTTTGGTGGAGAGGAATCTGAACAAAAAGACATGACCAGCTGGGAGACAATCCTAGAAAAAGGAATGTTTTTGTTTTCTTTGATAGCCCAACTAACTGTATATTCAATGGCTGGCACAGACCCGATCACCTCCAGAAAGACTTTTCAGATACTAAGCAAAATGCCTTTTTCTCTCTCTTTTTTTTTTGAGTTGGAATTTCACTGTCGCCTAGACTGGAGTACAGTGGCACACTCCTGGCCACCACAGCCTTGCCCTGCTGGGCTCTGGTGATCCTTCCACCTCAGCCTTCCAAGTAGCCAGAACTATAGGTGCGTGCTACTACACCCGGCCAATTTTTTGATTTATTGTAGAGATGAGGTCTCACCTAGCTGCCCAGGCGGGTCTTGAAACTGTGGGCTCAGGCAATCCACTTGTCTTGGTCTCCCAAAGCGCTGAGATTACAGGCTGAGCCACTGAGCCCGGCTGCCTTTCTTTTTCCCTAAGACTCCCTAAGTATTTTGTTGGCATTTCTACCCAGGAGTCACCCCACAGCATCTCTCAAATTACTTATGTATATAACCCTCTCTCTTAAAATGGAGAATTCAAAGCATAGGGATGATCTCTTATTCATCACACATAATGTAGGCCTTAAATTAATGATGAATCAACTAAACCGAGGCACAAACTTATAATTTTTTTCTCATGAGATTGCTATAATACATTTAAAACATATTAATCTTTTAAAACAAATTTTTAGAAGTTACCTGGCATGATCCACTTTATGTGCATTTTTCTTCATTTTAGTGGGTGAATCAATTTTTACTCCAAGGTTTCTTAGTTGCTTAAGAGTTGCATTAAAAACACAATCTTTATCTACTAGTCCTGAATTATGTTTCTTTTTCTTTGTATGGTAAACATTTTGGGTTCTGGTGCATTCATGACTGATAATTACTGCTTTGGTAGATGGCTGCTCAGTTTCTTTGGAGGAATTATTTAACAGGTGGTTCATTTGATCCTAATAAAAAGGACACATTTGAAAAATCACTATTAACAATCTTAGGATAAAACCTTAAATAATACTGTAAGTAAGGCCAGGGAAAAACAAAATAATATCATCTTGTCAAATTTCAAAGTATCAAGTACATTTGCCAGTATTATGGGTCTTTTATATTTAAAGAGCTCATCCTAATAACGATTTCATCCGATCCCACAGGAAACAGAATGTTCAGAATTCCTTCATTTTAAAACTAGTATATTTAATATCATTTGAGTAATACTCCAAATGTTTCCAAGGATTTATGCTAAATTCTTTAACACATTTTAAATAATGCTTTTATTTGAAAATGGTAATGTTTCAGAGTTATAAATTAGGTTCCTTTGAGCCAGGCGTGGTGGACATGCCTGTAATCCCAGCAATTTGGGAGGTTAAGGTGAGAGGATTGCCCGAGCCCACAGAATTGAGACCAGTCTGGGCAACATGGCGAGACCTCATCTCTACAATAAATCAAAAAATTAGCTGGGTACAATGGTGCACGCCTGTAGTTCCAGCTGCTTGGAAGAGAGGGATCACCTGAGTCCAGCAGGTCGAGGCTGTGGTGGCCATGAATGTGCCACTGTATTCCAGCCTGGGTGACAAAGTGAGACTCCAACTCAAAAAAAAAAAAAAAAAAGCTCCTCTCTCTTCTCATTCTCTAAAAACAAGAATGACCTGTGACATTATCTCTACCTTCCTTTAAAGCATATTTCATTCCCTAAGCATATAAGCTGCTAGCACCAGTCTAGGACCTAGCAGGCAAATAACAAATATGTGCTCTCTGATGAATAGAGCCCTCTGAAGTATATTTAGTTAGTCTTCTTACAAATGGAGAAATTAAATGTTCCAAAGTCTACAGTTTGGGTGAAAATGACAGCCAGAGTTCTTCCAACCTCTAAGTTCCAGATCATATTCTACATTTTCCAAGACAAGTTTCTCCAGCCAGAATGATCCCTTTTTATTCTGAGCTCCCTTTGCTTTCTACTACTTCTAAGTCTGTCTTATAAATTGTTTGTTACTAGTGTCCACATGTTATTGTTTCCCTGAGGACTTCAAGGGCACAGACTGTCATATTTATCTTTATATTATCCACTTTGCTTAGTCTACTTTCTTAGACTAAGCTAAGTATTTAATAAACATTTACTTACCTGAACTGAAATCAGTAAGTAAGATCATAAATATCCCACTACTTTCCAATTTTCAAACTTCCTACAAACTCGTGCTTGTTTTTTTTCTGGTACTAATTTTGGATTGAATGTGACAATGTAAATACTTAAATTTTAAAAATAAAGCTGCCTTCTTCTAGCTAAGTGCCTAACAACTGCAAGTTTACAGTAAATTACTGAATATAGGTTATCATAATTAATGAAAAGCTAAAAGAAATTATATATTACTAATTAGACAAAATCCTTTTAATCTCAGGCTTCAATCAGTTTAAACCTAGGAAAAGCTTAACTAGTATACTCTATACTGAATAACCATCTCAAAAAGATGAAATGCTCTAACAATCATAAAAAGAATGAAACCATGTCCTTTGCAGCAACATGAATGGAGCTGGAGATTGTCATCCTAAGTGAACTGACTCAGGAAAAGAAAACCAAATACCATATGTTCTCACTCATATGTGGGAACTAAATGATCACAAAGATGGGTAGACACTGGAGATACCAATAATGAGGGAGGGAAATTAGGTACCTACAGGGCACAGTGTTCACTATCTGGGGAATGAGCTACCTAAGACTCAATCCCCATCACTACACAATACGTCCATGTAATGAACACGCATGTGTACCCCCGAGTCCAAAATAAATATATGAAAAATTTATAATGAGAACAATAGACATTGGGGAATACTAAAGTGGGAAGGGAGAGAGGCGGAATAGGGTTGCAAAATCATCAATTGGGCACAATGCAAAAAAAAAAAAAAAAAAAAAAAGTTCTACATTTTCTTACCAATAAATCCTGGTACATTTTCTGGTTATCTGGTGGCTGATGAGGGAAGGGTTGCACTACTTGCTCAATTTTCAGTTCCCCTGAAGTTTCAGGGCTGTTACTGGCACCCTCTGTTGGTTCAGTCTGTAAGCACGTGCTTACACTCTCTGCCAGCAGGCCATTCGGAAGGAACACAGGTACACCAGGTTCTTTTCTCACAGCTGGAGAAGAGCTGCTTGAAAGGATATATAAGGTAAGCGTGAATCAAGGTAACAACACATGTGAAATGTAGTAGCTTTGAAAGAAAGGATTGCTGGGCTTGGTGGCTCAGCCTGTAATCCCGTGCCTTTGGGAGGCTGAGGTGAGTGGAATGCCTGAGCCCACGGGTTCAAGACCTGCCTGGGC